TACCTGTTGCTTTAGATAAGAACTCCCAGCTAAAATGGTTAATTTTTCTGTGGAGCCCTCAGCTTTGTTTATTCTGTTGTCCCATCCAGGCTTTTTCCTCTAATAAATCTGTGGGTTCCTGCATTTTGTTTGTTGAGTCTTGTCCATTAGTGAGTTCTTTTGTTTTATCTCTGTGTCTCTGTTATGTGGTGAATGTGCTGACTTTGCTAGTGTGAGTTAACTTTGGCCTGTAGCTTTAACAAGGGGTATGTAAGTAAAACTAACCTTAAACTAACTTAGTCTACATATGCTTCTAATGCTAATTTGGTTTATACTAACTTAATCTATATGTTAATTTTGGCTTAAAAACAGACAGATGGGGGAGTCTTAAACTTCCTGGTCCTCCTGTCAGTCTTAGGGAACCACATTCCTACAAGATCACTAATTGGCTTTATTGCAATGGTTGAGGGTGATGTTTTACCCTTGCAGGGTACCGTAACAGTAAAACTCACGGCAGAGAAATTGAATACCAGCCAGTACAAGGACACAAGGGAGGGCTAGTAAACTGGGCCTTGCCTCAGTTTCTTCCCAGTCCAGGCCTTGCCTTAGATTGGGAGGCAGCATCCTTACCAGCTTGTGTTGCCTGCATGGCCCCGTCACTCCTCCATTCTCCTCTCGGGATCTTAGCACACATGCATTCGTGTCCAGCATGAGTTTAAGCCACCAGGTCCGGGACTTGAACCACGGTTGACTACATGGGAATCCAGCGACATAGCCATTACGCTAACTGCTGGTTCCAATTACCTAGTTCTTCCCAAGGACTTGCTGACCTTATACATTTCCCTTAACTCATGGCTTTCCTACATTCTATTCCTGCTAACTAGAAACCTGTCTATTTTTCCATTTAAAATATTTCATTTCACCTGGAACTACTATTCAATTATGATCACTCAATAATCTTTGTAACTTGCTCTCCTATCATTCTGTTGCTCACCATGAGGATGGTGGGAATTTTGCCAGTGATCCAAGGTAAGGAAGGAGACCTCTCCTGCTAAGTATAGTTAGATGGTGTCTATTGCCTAGATCTCCATTTCCCTGTACTGGAGGCCTCCCTAAACAGTGCACCTGCATGGCTATTTCTTGACTGGAGGAGCATGTCCTACCATCTCTCTCAAACACCTTTCTCCATATCTTCATCCACCACTTCTCTTTACCCATCTTCACCATCTTCACTCCCTTATGCCCCTTCCCCATCTCCTTCTTACATCTGAGATATCTTTGGTTCTCTAGCCTACCATGGGAGTCAACCACAATTTTCCACCATTTTGTGAAAGAGAGAGGGGAAAGTAGTTAGGAAGGTCTTTTGAACTCTGGGTAAGAAACAAAAATTTGCAAATATTAAATCATCGATTTTGATTTTCTTGCAAAATATATTCTCTTGTAGCTTCCTAAATTGAAGTCCTAATTATATAGTTTATTATCCAGGAAGGAATGAACAGGTACAGCTTGGAAGAAAGAGGCCATTCATCAGCTTTAAGTCATTAAATCTTGCCATGCAAAAGATAAGAAGAAAAAAATATGGCATTTGCTATTGATACCAGAAATAAACCTAAGAAAGAAGTTTATAAATTACCTTAACTCTTAAGAAATACTAATTTAGAGCCTGGAGAATTCAGATTAATAAATTTATCCCAAATTGTTGAAAGATTATCCTGGCTTTATTTTCTAGGGTAGGAGCAGGATATGACACAAAGAAAATAAAGAGCTAAACTGTAACTCATTCCCTTCTGGAGGGCAATCAGAGGAGGATGTGGAATCACAGACTGAGATTTCCAAGTTGGGATCAATCTTTTACCAGGAAAAAACTGAGACCCATCTATTAAGTGGTCCATTTTTTTGGGAAGAAAGTCAAGGACTCTGCAGAATACCTCTAGGATAGTCCCAGCTTTAGAATTAGTGTTGTGTGCAATAAGGCATTGGAGAAATGACATAAGGCATTTTCGAAATGGCAGATAGAATTATTGTTGAGATATTATTGGTCTTTTGCAATGTTTACTAAAAAGCTAGAAGTTCCAACATCTCCAGGAGAGATTGAGAAGTTCCATATGGAATAGTGGATGGCCAATGAATAGACCTGTCTGGATTCTGGGTGGGGGGCAGAGGGGGAAGACAATTCATCCAAGGACTTAGAAGGAGGCAGACGTGCAGGACTTTAACTTCCTCAAAAGGATGCCAACACATCTATATTTGAGATCTGTCTTTTTCTACCCATAGCACAGACCTCAGGAGATCAGAGGACTGTAACATTAATTCAATGACTTTCTTAATCCCTACTTTGTCAGACAGTTATATTCACTTCTACTCTATTATATTGACACCATCTGGACAGAAGTATGAGAGAACCAAAACACTGAACATATACCTAAGACATCCAAGCAGAAGACCTAAAAATATTATTAAATTATGATATTTACATTAATTTATTCATGCATTTAGTCACCATATTTATTGAGAAACTGCTATGCTCTCAGTAAATATACTATAAATGGAGTGAACAAAGAGAAAAAAATTCCCACTCACATGAAGATTTATTTTACTAAAAAATCTTCAGAAGATTTAATTCTATTGAAATCGCTGTATTACACTAAATTCACTAAGACTGGTTTAAACATATTATCCCTTAGCGTTGTGGCCTTTTCGCCCAATAGAAGGTCCTTAGTAATCTCTTGGTATTCTAAGCATGTCTGCATCTTTTTTGTGCAGGGACAGTTTAGGGACTTTTATATGTGAGCTAACTCATAGGTTCACAGGGTCAAATCATTAACAGTTAATGAGAAAATTATTCACCACAAATAGAAATAGCATAATTATAATATCTTGGTTACTAGTGCTTGACTTATTATAAACTTGCTACTTTATTCATGCCAGGGACCCGTAGCCTTAAACCTTTTAAACATACATTTTGAATTACATGTAATAGCAATTACATGACTAAGCATCACGTAGCAAATTAGAGCTGTGGTTTATGTTTTGTAAAGAAACAGTGGATAGATAAGTTGTTATGCAACACTGTGAATCATCTATTATCTGTTCCATAGACCAGAAAATTGAGGTTTGGGCTGCTTGTTCAAATAATTTTTAATTCTGAAAAATACTCTTTTAGTACTAAGGTATCTATTACAATTTATGAGACTTATAAAGCCTACAAATACTGTTAAATAAAGTAATATATGTGAAAAAAACTTATTAACTGCCAAATTACAGACATCTATTATTTTTATTATTCCAGGAAGTTTTAATGACCAAATTTTAGTGACTATTTAATCTACCTTATTATTTTTATGTGAGGAAACCTATTCAAAAGTCGCCTGGAATCCTTGTGATTTTTCTTTATTTATGATTTTGTAGTCATTGTATTAAAGAGCTTATATACCAAGGCTCAAGTTTTCATGTTCAGAGATTGTACTTGTTCCTTTATCCATATCCCATTTTAAAGAGGTTTTCCTGTATGTCATTAGGGAGCTGTTAATTTAAAACAGAAAAGTGAGAAAATATATCTGTGTTATTATTATGTAAAACACAAAGGTGAAAAACTATTTTCATGCTGTTATAAATGTATCACGAAGTAGAAGAGAGGCCGTGTACACATATTTATTTAAAAGAAAGGTAAAAAAAATCTGAGCTAAAGAATAAAAATTTGTCAATATTTTCCTGGCACATACTAAGAGAGAATTATGTTATTCTATTAAGAAGGTCTTAGTTTTTAAGCAGATGTGTTTCAGGATTGAAGAAGCAGACTATGCTGTTCTGATGATGACATAGGCAACATTTTATTAGATGTCTGGGTTTTGTTTTTTTGGGGGGGAGGAGAGATTTTTTGCTATAGGGTGCGTGCACTTACCAGAAAGACAGAGATAGACAGAGAGACAGAAAGCGAGAAATAACTCCCCGGGGGTGGGGTGGGCATGGCCACGCCACAATCTCTTCTCCTCCATTCTCCTTTGGGGATCCTGGGCACACACACACGCCCGCCTGGTGTGCGTTTAAGCCACCAGGTCCAGGAGTCAAACTGCAGTCGACTACATGGGAGTCCAATAACATAGCCATTATGCCAACTGCTGGTCCCAAGACAGACCATCTTAACAAAAGTGAAACTGAACCAGAAAGGTAGAATTATAGACCTCATGTGACTACCTGAAATAGCTACTTAAACTTAGGTATGCATTTAATATATTTAGATATTAGACAAATATCTGAATTAGAAGAGAATATCCATTATTAATAAAGGTTTAAACATGCAAACATGTTACTCAGATAATGTTTTTTTGTGTGTTATAAAAATTCTCAGTATATTAAGAATACACATAAAGGTTTAAAAATATACATTTAAAACACAAACATTATTTTAAAGTTCATTCAACTTACCTTATAAATTTTAGAGAAAGTTTTCTTTTTTGTTATTAGGAGGACTTCCAAAATCTATAAAGAGAATCACATGCTATGATTATTTCATTGTTCAAAATATACTGTACTTGTAGCTTACAGAAGTAGGAACTTTTATTGGACATGCTTTTCCAATATATAAAACTAAATAAGTAGATTTAGTAATAGATTTGAGTAGTTCAAATCTTACTAAATATGCATAATTAACAATCATTGTACTATTGAAATATGAGAAAGACTCAAAAAAAAAAAAAAACCTCATTGTAATAGACAAGTCTGTATGCTTTAAACTGTAAAGCTGTAATAGTGGCTATACTTTCAAAAACTAAATCCTGTTCTTTCCAACAGTGATTTTGACTTTTCTATATTAATACATGTAGTTGTAAAATGGTATCAGTAAGTCAAAAAGTAATTTTGATTCATTACATTTAATTATGACCAAGAAATAAGATTAGAGTAAGTTACATTTACCTTTGTAGTATCTTCTACACAGACTGGCTTGCTAGGTGATGACTCACTGACAATGGTGGAAAATTAACATATGGAAAGAAGAGCTTTTCATTATGAAGCAGATAAGCTCCTTGACTGACAGCGTAATTGTATCACTTATTCCTGTGGAATCTCAGCTAAAGTACTAATATTCCTTTACTGTGTTTTTAGAAGACTCAGTACTAATAATCTGTATACTTTGCACGTCAAAATCTCTGAGATATGTCTACAGACATCGAAAAGGAAAGTCATGTGACCTAAAGAGAGCATTATAAAGACTTTCTGTTCTTAATAAAATATTTAAGTGAAGTCATGTGACCAAAAGACAGTATTACAAAGATGTTTTTGTACTTAATAAAATACTCATTAATTAAATTTTCTATTTTAATTATGAACAACAGTCAAGATGGTCATTATTCTGCTTTGAGAAAGAATAATCATTGAAATATTTTGAAAAAGAAGTGAAAATTCTACATTTAGTATGAAAAAAATTACATATAAGAACTTAAAATGACAAATATTTAATATTCTCTCTCTCTCTCTTCCTCTACCTTTCATTTGTGGAAAACATAAATAAGTAAACTTTTAAAAATAACCATTGTTTAAATGGTTTTACATATAGTATTTTTTTTTTTCTTTTGGGTTTTAGCTATATGGCTTGTATGCTCACGGGAGAGAGAGACAGAGAGAAGGAAAATGAGATATCATATTCCCCAGGGAAGATGGCCACCTGCAATTTCTTCTTCATTCTCTCAGAATTTTAGACATGCATGCACACATATCCAATGTGATTTTCAGGTCACTGGGTCTAGGACTCAAAGTGCAATTGGCCATGTGGGAGTCCAGTGCCTTAACCACACCTGCTGCCTTCTTATATATAGTTTGTTTTTAATATATTTGTAGTACTAAATTTAAAAGAAAAAAAAACACACCAGAATTTTGTCTAGGTCCATAAAAATAAATATTACAATATTTAGAAGATATTCTAATTAGGAAAACATGTAATTAACTTAAACTTGTCATTTAATAATAATTTAGTGGGACCAGAAGTTAGCGTGATGGCTATGTCGCTGAACTCCCATGTAGCTGACCGCGGTTTGAGTCCGGACCTGGTGGCTTAAACTCACGCCAGGTGCATATGCATGAGTGCCCAAGATCTTGAGAGGAGAATGGAGGAGAAGGGATTGCAGCGTGGCCATCTCCCCAGGGGGTGATTGCTCGCTTTCTGTCTCTCTGTCTCTCTCTGTCTTTCTGGTGAGCACACGTGCCCAATAGCAAAATCCTCTCCAAAAAAAAAAAAATTCACTTTATTTATTTATTTTTAATTTGACCAGAGAGGGTCAGAGCGAAAGAGAGAAAGAGAGAGAAAGTGAGAAAGTAAACCACCAGATCTGGGACTTGAACCACGGTCAGGTCATGTGGGAGTCCAGTGCCCTTAACCTCCACACCACGTGCTGGCCTCATAGTTATTTCTTTTTCATGTCTTTTCTCAGTTCGGTCTACATGAGAAGCATACGTAACTTATCCTCCGCTCGTCTGTTTAATAATCTTCCTTATTCCTCACACATCCAGTCTATAAATCAAGCATCTGGTATATATTCTAAATATCAGATGGGATTCTTCCTTATAATCCAGAACAACTCTTTTTGTGTGTGATTTTTCAATTAAAGTTTAAAAAAGAAAGCGCCTGTAAGTATTGTATCAGGATTTAGACAGGAAAGCACATGCACTGTGAGTATTTTAGGAATAAAACCTTTTACAGATGTGAGAAGAACTGGGAAAGGGACTGTCTGGAAGGGGGAGTCGGAGGCTCAGACGCTGCCGGAAGCACTATTGTCGTTGGACAAATCGGAGCCTGCAGGAAAATTCCAGAGCCAAGTACATCCAGCTGCCCCGAAGCAGACCTCCGAAGGGGGAGTTCGCAGAGAGGTTTATAGGAAGCGGTGGCCTCTGTGGAGCCCCCGCGCCTGGAGGGTGACAGCCAAGTCCCTGGTGCTGGGCCCGCGGTAAACTTGTCATTTAATAATAATTTAGTGGGACCAGAAGTTAGCGTGATGGCTATGTCGCTGAACTCCCATGTAGCTGACCGCGGTTTGAGTCCGGACCTGGTGGCTTAAACTCACGCCAGGTGCATATGCATGAGTGCCCAAGATCTTGAGAGGAGAATGGAGGAGAAGGGATTGCAGCGTGGCCATCTCCCCAGGGGGTGATTGCTCGCTTTCTGTCTCTCTGTCTCTCTCTGTCTTTCTGGTGAGCACACGTGCCCAATAGCAAAATCCTCTCCAAAAATAATAATAATAATAATAATTTAGGGTACATTATTCAAAATGAAATACACAAAATTAATAGGAAAGCCATTTCAAATTCTCCTTAGCTTTCAATTAGATCTAAACTTTCTCTCAAGGTAAAATAGCACTGCAAAAAGTAGTCCTATTTCTGTGTGAAGAAAAAACCTCATACACTAGTAAATGACCTTTTAATGGATATATAATTTACGCAAATTATTTATCTTTCAATGCAATAATTAAATACTACATTAAAATCTACCTATTTTAAATATATTTTATTAAAAACAGTAGTATTTTTAAAGTAGAAGATCAATAAGATCTTTGATCATACTAGAAATTGAATTTTTAAGTTAAAACATTCAATCTCTGGATAAAAATCCTTTGTTGGTTATCTTAATTCATACCATTTGGGTGGATTTCTGCAAAAGAAGTGTGGAATTGAAGGACTTTTTCAAGTACTGGTTATTAAATGAGATAGCATCTAAGTCCACTATCATTAATTTTTTTAAAATTGAGAGTTCACATCATAAAGCACAAGCTGCTGAATCATACAAATATTATCTCTTTAACCAGTTCTTAGAAAACTGACAGCATGGAGCATTTCTGGGAATGAGATCAGAGAGCACTTAACTGGCAGAAATTCTGATTTCTTTTTTTTTTTTGAGAGATAACCTTGAGCCTAAAAAGTACTTTTATATTTCCTTCTCTTTAATCAAAGTTTGAGTTTACATGCCAAATATATTTCATAGTATATAAGGTATTTTGATGACTAGTGAGATATGCTAATTGACATTATCTAATCACATAATATATGCGGAATGTTAGAAAACATTTGTGTGTGTGTGTGTGTGTGTGTGTGTGTGTGTGTGCGTGCGCGTGTGTGTGCATGCATGTTTCTACCTGCTTCAGAATAAGGACTTCTCAAAAAACTGGAATTCTAGGTCTCATCTCAACCCAGAAACTAGGGGCTTATATGCATTTTTAAAAGTTCCATCAATTCAAAGAACAACATAATGATCTAATTTATATAGTAGTCTGTAGTAATAGTAAAGTTATTCATATCTCTATAGAGATGAGTATGAAACAGTACATTGTAAAGCCAAGAAATCTATATAGATATGCTCTCTGTCCGTTTATTTTGGAGTAAGCTGTTTAAAAATGAAAGATGTGTTCTAGAATGTGGTAAGAAAATGGTAGCTGCTTACATTCCAATATACCAAGAAATCTCATATAGACAATATAGATTAAGATAACAAATAAAATCCTCCAGACCTGGCACCTTTATCACAAATAGGAGTCGCTGGAATCTATACAGATCAATCTAGCTAAATGGAGAAAATAAACACCACAGATCATCAGGAGACCAGCAGAGATGACTCTAGAGTCCATCCAGTCGAGTGGAGGTGATTGAGCAGAAGAAAGGAAAGTGTGAGAGGCTCTAGGAGCAGTGGAACACAAATGTCTGTCAAGCTTGGCTCCCAGAGGGCAGAAGCCTAATTCTTAGTACAAACTACGGAAATCACTTGTAAGACAAGGTAAGTGATAACCTCAGATCTTGGAGAATGTGCAGGATCATTGGAAAAGCACCATTTCTGGGAGACCTAGTGATATCTTGGAAAATATGATCTTAGTTGGAAATTTATTGTGAAGAAACAAAAAAGAGTTTAAAATCCCCAAAGTGGTACAAGAAAATCAGAGGAGAACAGAACTGAAAGCCATTATTTATTAAAATAGAGAGGTAAAGCATTCATGGGACAAAGAAAAGTAGTATTATCTGTTGAAGATAATTTTATAGTTTTATTAACTGGACTAGGGAGAAATGTTGACATGTTAGAATATTCACTTTGTAAGCTCAATAATGTGATTGAATGTATAAAAGAAAATGAAATAAAAAAATTTAAAAAAATGTAAAAAGCTGCCCTTTACAATAAGAATAGAAGAAAAATGCATATAAAACTGAAGAACTAAAGAAGTCATATAAAAGAACCACTCACATGTAAGGTCACCAAATATTGGTGGTTCAGCAAAATATAGCACTATTAAACAAACAAACATGGGGAGCAGCAGATGGTGTGGTGGTTAAGGGTGCTGGACTCCCACATGGCCAACTGTAGTTTGAGTCCTGGATGTGGCAGCTTGCTTTCTCACTTTCTCTCTCTCTGTCTCTCTCTTTCTCTCTCTCTCACTCTGTCCCTTTCTGGACAAATTAAAACACAAAAATAAATAAAGATAAATAAAATAATTCTAAAAAAATGAATA